GTGACTCACCTGTTCATAAAATTCTGCACCCGTGTTGGAGTGAACCCTGAGGTGACCCAGGGCTGCAGGAGAGCTGAAGGGGTGTGAGCACCCAGGACGGCCTTTCTCCTGAGCTCCCAGGATTTTTCATAATACACTGCGCCGATGGTCTTCAGCCGCTGGTCTGTGGGTGTAGGAGGGCTGGTCTCACTGTGCTCTACCTGCCCGGCTGTGGGCCACTGTGCAGGGCGGCTGGCAGTGGACATGGGTCTGCTGTGCTTGACGCGCTTAGTTCTGGAGTCCTTTAAGTGTGGCCCATTGCCCTTCCTGTCAGACGGTCTGGGGAGAGGGAGCGGAGCTCACCCTGGCTCTGGCACATGTGGAAGGCCATCTGTCTTTTGATTTTAAATCTTTGGTTCACCTTTTTACCGGGGTTCCCACAAGCCTTGCTGGTTCTGCTGGGTTCTGCAGTGCAGTGATGGTATGGTGAGGAGGCCGGGAGTTGCGGGTGCTAACACTGGCTGTGTATATATGGGGGCCGTATGGGGCCAGGGTTTGAGTCTAGGGTATTACACGTTCAAGGCATGTGCCCTGCCACATACAGCCTTAACTTGATTGGAGCCACCTTCCTGATTCAGTTTAGTTTTGGGACAGAAGAGTTCATTTATTTTTTGTTTTGGGCCCAACCCCTGCAAAGCCTAGGGCTTATTCCTGGCTCTGACTCAGTAATTACTCCTGGCGGTGCTCAGGGGGCCACATGGGATGCCGAGGATGGAAGCGGGGTGGACTGTGTGTAAGGCCTTACCTGCTGCACTGTCATATCACCGTGGCCCCCATACGGGGGAGAGTTTGAGTCACCCCGGCAGTGTTCTGGACTGTCTTCAGAGGTGCTCGGGAGACCCTGGGCCGTGCCGGGGATCGGGCCCTTTAAGTGCCTAAGCTCCTGTCCCATCTCTCTAGCTCCTCCCTTAATCTTTGCAGTAGGGATGCATTAAAGGGGTTTCTGAAGCCTCTTGCATCGGAAAGAATGAGCTGCTCTGAGTCTGCAGTTCCTCAGTCTTGTCTGCTCAAGGGAGTGGCTGCTGTGGCAGCAGGAAGCCAGCGGTCAGGCCTCCCAGTCTCTCCCTGGCCTGCGTCTCTCTCAGGCCAGCAAGAGGACCGGCCCTTCCTGAGCATCAGCGGGGCAGCTCCTGGGGTGCTGTTGCTCTTCAGGATTTCTTTTGTTTTTGTTCTGTCACAGAAAGCAGAGACTCAGCTCCTTAGCTTTAATTCGTCATTCCTTTTTTACCGTTCGGCGTATCTCTCGTTACTTTTTATCTCGACTTTTCAGAAGGCGTTTGATCGGGACAAAGATACAGGGTATGGTAAGGATGATGATTTGCTTATTATTCTTATTGTACAGGACTCAGTAGTGGGCCAGAAAGATAGCACAGCTGTTTGGGTGACTTGTCCTGTATAGCACGTGTCAGCACCACATAGGGTCCCCCGAGCCCCACCTAGGAGTGGCACCACCAGCTGTGGCCCAGAAACTTTAAAAAGAAAAGAAGGGCCCCGTTGGCATTGAGAGTCAGTGTCAGGATGGAAATGGAAGGAAGCGTCCCCCACCCCCGCCCCGATTTGCAGACTAATGAACAAGGTCAAGGTGTGGAAGCATCTGGAATCCGAGAGCAGCCTTCCCTGCCGAGTGCTTCGGGGCATTACTCTGCACCCTGGTTTCCTGGTGGCAGGTTGAGAGCGCCCCTGGACTGGAGTGCAGTAGTGTTTGCTTTGATGGTTCCTTGGTGACTCTTGGAACTTCTCAGGGTCACCGAACACTTGGTTTTGAAAAAAACCCTCGTTGCTGAGGGGTATCGGGGAAGGGAGTGGAGAAGCAGGTGCCCGGAGTGACCGGTGCGTCCTGTGGATGCATGCGGCCCGAGCTGGAGGAGACTCAGCCACAGATGCTCGTCCTTCTCAAGGTCACCTTTTGTTGTCCGCACACTCAGCATCAGTTAGAGATGGAGGCTCACCTGCAAAGAACAAAAGCCATTAACTAGAATAAATCAGCACGTAAAGGAAGGCACCGCCAAGGCCATCTGAAACTCTAGTGTTCTTTCATGGAACTTTTTTTTTTTTTTAATATATTCTTTTATGTGACTAAAGTTGTTAAAAAACAAAAGGAAAAAGAGAAAAAGAAAGAAGCATCAACAAATCCTCCTTCTAGCAAAGCCGGGCAAGTTTGAAGTTTCTTTCTGGTTTGACAGAGCTGAGAGGACCGTCGCTTCAGGATGGCTGGGTGTGGGGCGGCAGTGGGGACGGGGTGGGAGCCCGGCCGGAGCTCAGGGTGCACTGCTGGCAGGATCAGCTGTTGTTCTGGGTCTGTGATACCGGCCCGTGACTTCTCCTGGAGGACAGAGGGGGCCGCTGTCCTCCCATGCAGGACAGGTGCGCCCTCCCCAGTGTGGTTGCTGTTGGAGGTGTGCGAGGCTTTGGCCTCACAGTTTCCACTGGGGTATGGGTGGGGGGCCGCACCCGGTGGGGCTCCGGAATCAGTCCTGACTCAGCTCTTGAAGCTCCTTTTTAATTTTTTTCCTTTTAATTAATTCGTTTATTTTTATTGAGTCACTGTGAGATACAGTTACGAAGTTGCTAATGGTCAGGTTTCACTCATACGGGGTGTTCCCACAACAGGGTCATTGACTGCTCAGGGGTCACTCCTTACTGTGCCGTGGGCTCCCGGGAATGGGCCCCAACCTCGGGTCCCCTCCCTGCTTGCTCTTCCCTAACAGTTCGCCCCAGGCCCGCCTGGCCCCTTCTGCTGATGAGATGTGGTCAGGCAGGAGTGTTACCCCGGACGGAAACGTTAGTGCAGAGGAAGTGCTTCTCCCCTGCCCAGTGCGCAGGCCCTCTCAGGATGGCCAAGAGGAGAGAAGTAGGACTGAGGATGAAGGTGAAATGTGTGCCTTTGCGGAGATGTTTTCCCGGCTACGGCCTCCCGTGGGCGTGATGGTGGGGTTCTGGGCGACCCGTTGGTCAGTGTGGCTGCACAGTCTGAAGCGAGGATGAGTGGTGAGGAAGGTCATGTCAGAACCTAAGGTCACATTTGCCAGTCGTTTTCAGAATTCTGGACTTCCGATGTGTCTCCTACTAGAGTTCCTGAGCTGCCACGGGGGTCTCTGGTACCTCTGTCCTGTGGGCCCTCTCTCCACCTTCTGGGGGTACACACTTGAGCGCTGAGCAGGGAAACTCTGTCCCCCACTCCGGGGATCTGTGGCCTGAGGGTCACTTGCCAACTGCTACTAACCAGAGGGGCTAACACTCTTTCAAGAGCAAGGGGACACACTCAGCAGGTGCCCCTCAGGCAGAATGAGAAACACCTTTTTGGGGGAGGTTTTTTTTTTAAGATTTTCATTAGCATTATTTTAATCAGCCTGGGCTTCTACTCTGTGTTGATTCTTTTTTTTTTTAAAAAAGTTATTTTTATAAAGTAGCTCACAATATTTGATCACGTTCAATATTCGAACACCAATCCTATCACCATCACACCTTCCCACCACCATATTTTGGGAGTTTCCATCCTGAACCCCTGCCCCAAAGCAGAACTGAAGTAATTTATTTTGTATTGTTTGTTATGAAAAACCCCTGAAAATGATCCAAAAAAGTTTCCTTAGAGGAAAGTGCGTGAAGATTGTTTTATTTCACCCAGGGGCCATGAAGCCCTTCTTTAGGGTTTTTTTTTTTTTGCTTTTTGGGTCACACCCATCGATGCTCAGGGGTTATTCCTGGCTCTGCTCAGGAATTACCCCTGGCAGTGCTCAGGGGACCATATGGGATGCTGGGAATCAAACCAGGTTGGCCGTGTGCAAGGCAAACGCCCTACCCGCTGTGCTGTGCTATTGCTCCAGCTTTCAGATTTTTTTTTTAAAAAACCCTTCTTTAAGAGATTACTAACATGTTGCTAAAGGTTGAGCCTTATGTGCTTGTGTGTGTGTGTGTGTGTGTGTGTGTGTGTGTGTGTATCTGTAAAAATATATTTCCGTTTAAGATTGATTGCCTTTTACTATAAGCCCCATCAAATGTGGTACGCTATTCTTGGAATATGAGTGGTATGAGGTATGAGAAAGTTCTGGAAATTTCAGGCTGCCAGGGCTGGGTCCTTGGGGTGGGGAGGGGAGTTTGGGGTACTGTCTACTTGGCTGTGACTTGGTTGAGCTTGGTCAGTAAACTGGTGATGCCGCATGGAAACCTGCAGAGTCCAGCTCGCCACCTTGGCTCTGTTCTGGGACCATCCTGCCTCCACCCCTTCCTACTCTGGCTTGGGGTATAGGCTCCTGTTTCAGGGAGTGGCAAGGAGCTCAGAGTGGGGGTGATGGGTGTGCCACATGATTGAGCCCAGGCCCAGACCCACACGTGCCTGAAGGGCTTTGCTGGAGAGAGTTGTGCGTCTCTTGGTTTCTCTGTTCAATTGTTGATCCATCAGTGTGAGTCAGCTACCTTTCTCCTTACTTTGGGCTCCATCACAGCCCGTCCTGTCTGCGTCCCAGCTGCCGCCGCCCACTGCCTTAGCCCTGCTTCTTCAAGCCTGCCTGTTCAACGTGCTTTGTTCAGATGAGCTTCTTTAGGGTGGTGGTTGTCTTTTAGGCTGCTCCTGGCCGCGTTCAGGGGTTATTCAGGAATCACTTCTGGCGATGCTCAGGGCACCATATGGGGTGCTTGCAGAGGAAACTGGGTTAGTCATGTGCAAGGCAAACACCCTCCTCACTGTACTGTCACTCTGGCCCTGTCTCCTGCGTTTTTCACATGAGGGACGCTCCCCTAAAATGGACCAAATTCTTTCCACATCTAACTAGGAGGACTTAAGAACACGGGTGCATCAAGTTCATGGGGCTGATGCTTAGACGTTCCCAGGGTGAATGGCTTCTATGATCCAATTTTGAACCTGTTTTTTCTCCCCCAGTTAGAGCAGGTGGTGGGTTGGGCAATAGTGAGATGACCGTCAGGCTTGGTGGAGGAAGTTCTCACAGTTTCCGTTCCTTCTGCAGGAGAGTCCAGCCCGACACGCCGGGAAGCTGTCAAGAGGAGAACAGCTGAGTACCTCCTGCGGGCCGAGAGTCTCTCCAGCCTGCGCAGGAAGGCGCCCCCCGGTGGCCCGAGCCTGGCGCCTGTGAGTCTCTCTTGGGATTGTTGTTCACTGTCTTAGCTCCAAGCCCTGGGTTTGCTTATCTATCTGTCTGTCTGTCTGTCTATCTATCTATCTATCTATCTATCTATCTATCTATCTAGGCTTTGGGCCACACTGGCTGTGCTCAGGGATCCCTCCTGGAAGGACTTCGGGGCCCATAGGAGATGCCAGGGATTGAACCAGGTTAGCGTGTCCAAAGCCAGCGCCCTCCCTGCTGTACTCTCTCTGACCCCCTGGGGCAGGTGGTGGAGGGAGGCATAGGTTTCTTGCAGGGGAACAAACATGGTGTTTATGATGGATGTTCTGTCCAAGCTTGGCAAGGTTTTGGAAGAAATCTTGTTACTTTTTTTCATGGTAACAAACTTAAGTTCTTCTCCCCTAAGACTCTTCTTTCCTGGAGATGGGGAATTGTCTTTATTTTCTAAATTGTCGTAAGAGGGTGGCGCTTGCTCCTGTCCAAGCACCGTCACCAGAAGGGCACTCTGGTGGACTGGACAGGGAGGTCAGCAGCTGTCTTAGCCCGTTGGCTTCTCCACTGGACCAGCGCTAAAGCCGAGCTGAGTTGTTGCTAAGATGAAGAGAGATTTCAAAGACTCGCCCACAGGGGAGGTACTCGCCTCGCAGGAGTCAGCCCAAGTACTACCAGTGTGCCTCTCAAAATGACCCCACCCCGATATGTGCATGTTTGCTTGTCTGTGTGTGTAGACATCTCATGCATCTCTCACACGCAGTCCCTGCCTAACACAAGACTAACATATATGCCCATGGAAATGCAGCTTCATTCCTTTTTCCCCCTTATATATAATACTTTACAATTCTTTTGCCACATTTTTATATCGTATATACTTTTGAAGTTTGCAAATCAAGTCAATTTTTTTTCAAACCTATAAAGAACCTTATACACAATCTTGATGCATTAGATTATTAAAACATTAACTGCTTGTTTTCTGAGTATTTTTTTTTTATTTCCTGTGACTTTTATTTATTTGTTTGGGTCCACACTGGCAGTGCTCAGAGCCTACTACACCTCGCTCTGTGCCAGAGATCAGATGTGACTCGAATTCAGGTTAGACACGTGCAAGACAATTGCTTTCCCTGCAGTTCCATCTTCCCAGCCCCTTTTTATTTTTGGCTATTTGGGTCACATCGGTGATGCTCAGGGGTTACTCTGCACTTAGGAATCACTCCTGGCAGTGCTCAGGGACCCATATGGGATGCCGGGGATAGAAAAGCGTTGGCCGGATTGGCTGCATGCAAGGCAAACGCCCTCCCTGCTGGACTCTACCTCAGGCCCCTTCCCATCCCTTCTGTGTGTTAGCAAAACCAGACTGATGGTGTGAAACACTGGATTCTGGGAATTTTTGCTGACATGCTTGTTCCTTTTATAACTAAAGACTTCTGTTTCAATTTGGAATTAAAGAACTTTTGCTTCTTGCTCTAGCATGATGATCATTTTTAAGTAAGCACGCTGTTCTTTTCAGACTGCTCATGACCGCTTCTCCTGTTGGATAACACCGTTCAGTCCTTTCTCCTCTGCTGCAGGGAGCTTAGGTTTACTGAGAAACACCACCACAATGCTCCAGAAACACCCCCATTCATCTTTAACTTCTCCTTCTGCTCTCCTTCCCCTATTTGCTAATCACTCATTTCCCCTAATCAGACCCTGTGACTTGTAAAGTCAGATTCCTCAGAGAACGCTGACTTTTGTGTTTGTAGGTGAACTATGTCTTTTCTCTTTCCCTTATGTCCTGTGCAGAGTTTCCTGTAGAGCTATGTCCTTTTTGTATAGACACAGCACTGTAGCACTGTGGGACTATTGTCCTGTCGTTCATCAATTTGCTCGAGCGGGCCCTGTAACCTCTTCATTGTGAGACTTGTTACTGTTTCTGGCATATCGGATACACCATGGGCAGCTTGCCAGGCTCTGCTGTGTGGACGGGATACTCTTGGTAGCTTGCCGGGCTCTCCGAGAGGGGTGGAGGAATCGAACCCATGTCGGCCACGTGCAGGCAAATGCCCTACCCACTTTGTTATCGCTCCAGCCCGTATAGACAAAGAAAGATAGTTAATGCTCTGCTTTTGTTACTTGAGAGTTAGTTAACCCCGATTAATACCTACTCCTGGGCATCTGTCATATTTACTCAATTTCGGCCTCAGAACCCTCCCCAAATGGAGGTTTCCTGGCGAAGGACTTGGATGGACCCAGGGCAAACCGTAAACTGCCCTGGCATCAGAAAGGGACGGGCCATGCACACACCATAACACTTATAATCAGTAAAGAGCACAGTCACGGACAAATTCTGTCATGACCCAAAACTGGATAAGGACCCTGCTGGGGTTAGGAAGGACTAATCTGTCCTGAGGACTGTAGGCTGGGATCTAAAGTAAGATGTCCCCAGGAAAGCCACCCTTTAAGTTGAATGTACCTCTTACTGTGTCCATACAAAATGACTAAAAGATTATTAAGAGTAAATTTAAGATTTACTTAAGTTAGTTGAATCCATTTACTGGTTAAATGGATTTGGACTAAGGAGAGGAGAAATAGCCCTTAGATGAAACTCCTCCCTTGGGTGGATCTTCTAGGAGGATGAGATTTTTTTCCCCTAGCTTCCCAGAAGGAAAGGCTTTACATCCGTCACTTGTGCTACCTTACTTACATGTAATTGCTACCCCCAACCGTTGATGACTTCTCTGTAACTAAGGCTGTGAGGTGGGGCTCGGGAAGAGGGGTGTGAGAAAAGGGTCCCTGGAGGAGGCAGGAGGAGACAGGGATTCCATTGGAGACAGGAATGAGGGGCAGTAGGAGAGTAGCTTGGGGGACAGTGTGTGAGACTGGAGCAGGACAGAGATTGGAATAAATGGTGATTGATCACCGACCAGCCTGGTGGCGGCCCCATTCCCTCCTGTATATGTCTGTGGGCAGTGGCCAGCCGGGCTGGGGAGGCGGCGTGTGGCCGCTGCATACATGTGGTGCACACTCACACACTTTGAACGCACATTCTCCCATCCTGCTCTTGTGTCTGCTGATCTTCCCTTTTTCCTGTCCCTGATGTTGGGACTCTGTGTGGCTGATCGTGTCTGTTTAAGGGGCGTATCTGCGTCGTGGTATTGCTGATTGTCAGATGGCTCTTGGGTTTTGTCCGTATTTCCTCTTAGTAGCTCTGTGCAGTCCTGAGAGACAGGACCTTCCTGGGTTTCCTGTGGAGCCATCTGGTGCAGTACTGGATTGTGGGCCGGCGTACACCTCTTACTCCGTTGCGTGGGTCAGTGTTCTGTGCCACGGCCCAGGGAATGAAGCCCGTGAGCGTCCTCTCCCCATGATGCCCCTTGGAGCATGTGCCCCTGCTAAGTTCAGTTCTTCCTTGCACCCCCTTGTTAGGGGTCCCTGGACCTACTGGGATGGAGCGAGAAGTTATGAGGTAAATGAGTGTGGAGTGTCTTCTGTCTAGTTCTGCATTTGCAGAAAGGAGCTCTCAAGCATCTTGGACAGGATCTCTCTTCAGCTGGTTGCCAGCCGCTGTGCTCATGTGTCCTCAGAGAGAAGAAAGTGCCCCTGTCACAGCGGAAGAACAGGGGGGAAATGTTTGTCTTGCTTATGACCGACTTGGAATCCTGCGTGGTCCCCTGCACATCCCCAGGTGCTGCCCAAAAGTCCAAAAAAAAAAAAAATTCCTTTCCTGCGCAGCTTCTAATGACATTGAGGTGAGAGAGAACACAGGAGTGCTCATCGGATTAGAACTCAGGCCCTGCTGCTCACATGCCGCGCAGTGCCACTCCCTCCACACAACCTCCACACCAGCACAGCCGCAGAGATTCTCTAAATCTGCAGCCGTGGAGGATGGAAAGGGCTCACCTGGAGCGAGGGAGGGCCCTTCCTTCTGCCCCTCCCTCCGGCAGCATTTCCCCCGCCCGGGTCCAGGGCTGGAGGGCCCATCTTCGGCAGGTCTTCAGCAGATCGAAGCCCTCACATCTCTCCCACAGCACTCACTCAGGCTCCTGCCTGTTTTCTCCTGTCTTTCTGTTCCTTCATGGTCTTGGATCTGTGTTTTTTTCTGGCATCTGCACGAAGGGACTCTATAGGGAGGTGCCCGATTTAAGCATGGCAGATAAGAGACATGAATTGTTATTGATGATTTTATTTCATGAGCTTTCTTTGTTCGTTTCTCTAATCTCAATGTTCTACAAATGTTCAAGTCAAAGGGGACTTTGATGGTCGCTTCGTGCTAGATACGTTCTCATCTGCAAACACTGCCATGCCAAGTGGCTGCTTTTGCTGAGTGTTTTTCAGGGAGCGCCATGTCTGTCGACTAGCTTCGGGGCCCTGCGTTCCCACAGCCTGATACTGTCTGCAGGACCACCTTTCCTTGCCTGCTTCCGGCCAGTCCCTGCATTCTGAGACCTTATACTCCACACTGCTTCGTTACTGCTCATATTTCCATGTGGTCAACTTCTGTGCAGATGCAGTTCATGGCAACTGCCTGGCTGGTGCGGTAGAGAGGGTCCAGGGGTCTGTGTGACATCGACTTTCTCGGCTAGCCGTGGCAACCACACTGGCAAGGCGCTCTCAGGGACGGTCACATCAAGCATCCTGCCCTCGCATGCCCTTCCCTGTTTTATTAAGCTGGGGGCTGTTTGTCCATGCATCCATGAACACCCTGCTCCCTGACCCCCTTCCCGGCATCCTTGTGGGCCTGGCACGTGATGCTGTGACTCAGGTACCCCTGAGCTGGACATTCGAGTGTTGGCTTTCACTCTTCTCTCAGCCTGAAGCTCCTTCCTCGTCTTAACTCTTAGTCTTAGCTCTCGGGGAGTGAGAGCTCTGCGCTCCAAATTTGTCTCTTAATTTGGGGGCTGAGGCCACACAGGGTGGTGCTCAGTGGCCACTCCTAGCTGTGTTTGGGGGACCGTATGCTGGGCACATGCTTTTACTCCTGTTCTTTCTCTCCAGCCTCTCTTTGTTACCTTTATAGATCTTACTCTGTATCTCACGAAGTACGACATTAAAAAGGCCTTTTTATGCATCTGCATTGTTGAAGTTTAACAAAGTGACTAAGGATTATTACCACTGCAGTTGCTATTGTTGTCAGTATGATTTTTGTTAATATTTATTTGATCACCCTCCTGGGCAGGCCCCATGTGCCTTCTGATGAGTGAATACGAGGAAAAAATCCTTACCCCGAAGTCCTGGCAGGAGGGGCATCTTGCCACCAAGAAGGGGCAGAGACACAGCGGTTCCTCGCTCGAGCATGGTTAAGGGACCCCCAGCTGTGTCACGGACCCCACCCGCTTTTCAAACACATGAGCCTGGACCAGTGAAAGTGGCAGAACCCAACCCAGGCAGAAGAATTAAAACCCCCAAGGGGGCTGGAGCAATAGCACAGCGAGTAGGGTGCTTGCCTTCCCCACGGACCTGGATTTGATACGTGGCACCCTCTATGGTCCCATGAGTGCAGAGCCAGAATTAAGCTCTGAGAACCACCAGCACCATGGGTGGGGTGTTTGCCTCGCACCTGGCATCCCATATAGTCCATCCGTGCACCCCCAGCCACACCCTGAGCATCGCTGAGTGTGACCCAAAAATGTAAACACCATCTCCAGGGCTGGAGTGATAGCACAGCAGTAGGGCATTTGCCTTGAGCGCAGGTGGCCCGGCTGAGCCGGGTTCGATTCCTCTACCCCTCTCGGAGAGCCCGGCAAACTACCAAGAGTATCTCACCCGCACGGCAAAGCCTGGCAAGCTACCCGTGATGTATTCAATATGCCAAACACAGTAACAACAAGGCCCACTCGAGCGAATTGATGAACAACGGGACTGTGACCGTGATTTTATTTGATCAGTAACATTGCTGTGTGTGGACTCCTCCTGGGTGCAGGTCAGGGAGTTGGGAAAACCTTCAGCACTGCTCAGCCCTGCGGGTGGGTGGCTCAGTGCTCAGAGACAGCCCCATGCGCTGCTCGGGGTCGCACTCGGGGCTTTGAGCTTGTGGGGCTTATACCAGCCCACCCTTTCCTAGAGAGGGGGTCGGACTGATCCTGCCTCCCCTCCCCTCTGTGCCCAGTCTCTGCACTCAGGAGGTAAGCCTGTGTCCTGTAGTCACTTGGGTGTCACAGTACCTCAGTAACTGTTCTGGTGCCAGGGCTGGGCAGGACTGTCTGGCTTCTCGCGGGAGCGTAGAGCTGGTCAGATACTTGGCAGAAAATGTTTTCTCTTTTAAATCCTCATTGTAGACTTTAACAACCTCTGTTCTAATAACTCTTAGTTATAAGAAAATTTCTCTCTCCTTTTTTTTTGGTCACGTTTGATGGAGCTCACAGCATGCTCCTGGCTCTGTACCCAGGGATCACTCCTGGTAGGGCTCGGGGGACTATATGGGGTGCCAGGAATCAAATTAGTTCGGCTGTATGCAAGGCAGATGCTTTCCCCATTGTACCACCATGCCAGCCAATGTGAGAGCTTCTTTTTTTTGGAGGTGGGGGGTCACACCTGGCAATGCACAGGGATTATTCCTGGCTCTGCACTCAGGAATTATGCCTGGCGGTGCTCAGGGGACCATATGGGATGCTGGGAATCGAACCCAGATTGACCGCGTGCATGGCAAAAGCCCTATCTGCTGTGCTATCGCTCGAGCCCCCCCCCCTTTTTTTAAATGTAGGAGTATTGCTGTTTATTCAGCCATTGATTAGACTGATTGAATAGGGCATGAACTCCACCTTACTTTTTTTTCTTTTTCTTTTTTATATGTTTATTGAATCACCGTGAGAGCAGTTACAAACTTTCGGGTTTAAGTCTCCGTCATGCAATGATGAAACACCTGTCCCTTCACCAGTGCCCATTTTCCACTACCCGAAACACCAGTATACCCCCTCATCCCATACCCTCCCCCACCTGTGGGGCAGACAGTCTCCACATCACTCTCTTTCTACCTTGATCACATTCAATATCTCGATACCAGACCCACCATTATCATTTGGGATTTCACCCCAATACTCAGATCTGCCGAAAAGGCAACCGTAGACAATTTGTTTTCTATTGCTGGTTATGAGTAACAAACATATGATGTCGCACGGCCACAGTATTGGCCATGCGATTTTGGATTTCTGAAATTTTAACAATTGAATCTGGAGGGATTTCTGCCAAAACCTACTGGGTTCCGAGATTTGTTCTCGAGTCCCTGGGACCATGGCTGTTAAACAGCTTGATCAGGAGCCAGAGACACCGTTCATGGGCAGTGACCCGGGGTCTTGTTGGGGGGGGGGGGGGGGAAGGGCCGTCTCCACCCCCATCCCATGAGGCCCCGCATGCCTCGTCACTGCGGGCTCAAACCTGACTGTCCAATGGCCTCTGGAGGATGATGGCCACCGAGCCGCCAGGGGGAACAGGCCAAGGCACAAAACCTATTCCCACCTGGGGTGGCTCGGCGCCTGCAGCCTACTGCAGGGACCGGATGCGTTTCTGCCAAAAGCCGCTGGGTCCCGAGATTTGTTTCTGAGTCGTGAGAGCTTCTTAATTTGCCTCCGCCACTGGCAGTTCTGGTTGAACTCGAGCCTGACAATCCCTCCTACAATACAGGTGTATAAAGTACCACTAAAGAACATAGTTTCCTGAGCGAGTTCATTTCCTCCTTCCCGATACTCAACTCTGTCTCTAATCCCCTTGCTGTTCCCATAGAGCCCTCTGAGGTCAGTAAAAAGTGACTGATTATGGACTGTTGCAGCTTGTTGCTAAATTTCAGTCTGGCTGTAGTATGGAAAGCTGTATCAGCTCATTAATTTTTCTTTTGAAACTTTTGTTTTCAGTGTTCCCAAAGTCTATTGGCTTGTAACTTTTCCTCTTTTTCTTTTAGGTTCCCTTTATTTTGGATTTTCTTCTTTTCTTATTTTGCATTACAGAAAATCAGAAACTTCTTTCTTTCATCTTCCTGCTCTCTGATTGATGATGAATTTACTTTCCTTTGGCCTGGCATTTGCTTCAGCAGGCAGCCTTCCTTCAAGGACCTCCCTGACTGATGTGTAATCTTTGATATCTTCCATTAGCCTCCAGGATCAGTGAGTTCAAGGCCCGCTGGGAGCCCGAGGAGCCCTGCTGAGGAGCTGAAGGCCTTCCGAGTCCTTGGGGTGATTGACAAGGTAACTCTTCAGCGCCTCTTCAGAGCCTGGTCCTAAATTGACTGCATGCTGGCATTGCGTCTTTGAAGCTCTGGATCTTAAGGGTAGGAAACAAAAGGAGAAAATGACTCAGATGCATCTGTACTTAAAAATAACAAAAGCCGAAGAGAAAAAGCTTTTATCTAAGCAATTCATGTAAGGTCATGCAAAGTATATTCCAGCTGAGGAGAAGATGATTGTTTGTGGGCGGTAAGTTGGGGAAGGGGTTTGTGTTCAGATCCTTTTATGGTGCATGGTTCAGCAGTAATGGAACGGGCATTCCAGTGGCCTTATTGCAGAGCTGCCCTGGTTTGATTGGGGGAGATCTGAGCAGTTTGGGGGAGCCAGCAGTTCCCTGTGAGCAGAACAAGGGCAGGGTCCGAGTCTGTGCCTTGGTCGCCCTCGGAAGGGCCATTTAGTGAGGCAGACACGTGACCTGTCTCACCTGCTGCACCCCACCAGTTCAGCTGAATGGGCCTCTGTCCCTCTGAGGGTCCTCTGTCCTGGCTGCTGCAAAGGGTCCCGTTTCCCCGGTGGATGGGCGCGTCCACAGGCAGAAACGGAGCAATTTGCCTCACTTCATGGCAGCAGAAAGCCATGGGAGGGGAACTCAGTGGGGTTCGGATTCACGGTGTCTGTGGAGCCCGACCTCTGCCCAGGTAGTTCTGTGAAGGCGGAAGAGGGCTTGCACCCCCTCACTGGGATCAGGAGAAGAGGCTGCCCCTTCCCCAGCAGACCTGTGCCCAGGAAGACGCACAGAAGAGAAATTGCTGAAGTCCAGAGTTGCAGCCCATCTGCAGGGTTCTATGGAGAATCAGCAAGCAAAGGGGACACTGGAGGGGCTCAGGTACGAGTGCCTGAGAGCCGAGTGAGGGAGAGCCACGGTCTCAGCAAGGGAGTAGGACGGGAAGACCTCGGCGAAGGAAGACGGGGGGGCAAGAGGGCCCAGCAGGAGGGACGTGTACAAGACTTCGTGTACAGGGGGTCCTTGAGCTCTTTGGGTGCGCCCAGAGAGAGCTGGAGTAATGAGCCAGCACCTTCAGATGGGCCCCTCAGAAACAAGGAGAACAGAGAAAGGAAGGCAGAGAGAGGAAGAGAAAGGGAGAAGGAAAGGAAGAGAAGATGGAAGGAAGGGAGGGGGAGGAAGAGTGGGATGGAGGACAGAGAGGGAGGAGGGGGAGGAGTGTTGGAGAGGAGGGTGGGGAGGACAGGTGAGGGGGGGAGGTCAGTAGGGAGGGAGGAAGGGACGGGGAGAGGAGGGGGGGAGACGGGAGGGGAGGACCGGAGGGAGATGGCAGACTTGAAGCTTTCCTGCTGAGCTCAGGAACAAGGCAGGGAAACCATCTCACTCCCCTTTCAGCACTGTGTCCGAGCAGTCCCAGCAGCTCCTCTGGTCATCCTGCATCAGTGTCCGAGCAACACCGTGTCCCTGGGCTCTGACATTGAGCCACCAGCTCATGAAATTCCTGGGCTTCACGAGCATTGCTTGGGAGAAACGCCCGCCCTCCTTCAGAAAGACTCACAGAAAGAAAGAAAGAAACAAAGAAAGAAAAAGAAAGAAAGAAAGAAGATTGTCTTTGTTTGCCGGTGACCTAGTGGTCTTTGCCAGGAATTGACGAGAAGAAATCTCCTGGAGCCAAGAAGCAACGAGAGCAGATGAGGATGTGCTTTAAAAGCATCCGCACTTTCTTACATGCCAGCAGTCAGTGATGAGGAAAATTTGAAGTTAGCCGTCCTGTCACTGGGGTACTTAGTTATAAATCTCATAGTCTCTCATTAATATGCAGAAAACCGCAAAGTTCTGATGAGAGAATTGGGGAAAAAGCACCTGTGGTACCTTGATACACCAGACTTCCAAATGCAAGAGTTTGGCATTATTCAGTATTGCATTTTCTGTTCTGTATCACTTGTATTTCAATATAATTCCCTTAGCTTTCCTTTTTGAAAGAGCTGTGGACTGTAATTAATAGAAATTGACGTAGATCAGAGTATTGAAATAGCCCTAGTGGTATGTGACCGCTGCAGTGACCAGCGGGTTCTGCTGCCCCCCCAGGGAGTGCCTGAGTTTGTGCTTCTTGGAGTCTTCCCAGCCACGCGCATCACTTGTTTATCAACTCTTGATGCTTTCGGTCTGGACTGGACTAGTAAAATGGCAAGCCTGTGGAAATGGTCTTCACATCTGCTTGCTAAGGCATCCACAATGGAAGTAGGTCTCATTGCCGTCTCTGAGCGAGGGCTCCGGAAACCACGTGCTTCCTGGGAGATGCTGCGGTGGTTTCCTCACAGCCGCCCGCTCCTCCGCCCGCACTGTGACTCAGTCGGCCCCACTGTGCTTCTCTGCCTGTGATGAGTGCCTCGAAAGAAACCGTCTCCTTGGATAGTTTCTTCGGACAGTTTTGCCAGAGCAGGAGTTGATGGGTCGGGGAATCTGACGCCTGTCGCAGCCTTGCAGGGGCATCCTCTTGACCAGGTGTGTAGGTCCCTGCAAATCACACAGGGAAGAGCCTTGCTCGAAAAGGACATTTCTACGTGAAAACTTGGGATTAGTCGTTTTTGCTTTGTCTTTGGTTTTTGGGGGCCATACCTGGTAGGCTCAGGGCCTCTTGCTTGACTCTTTGCTTGGGGCATCACTCCTGGAGGGTTCGGGGGACCCTGTCATGCTGGGAGGGGTCTTCTGTGTGCAGAAGACCAGGAAGAGGAAGAGAAAGGGAGAAGGAAAGGAAGAGAAGATGGAAGGAAGGGAGGGGGAGGGGGGTCATGCTGGGGGGGGGGGCTTCTGTGCGCAAAGCCAGTGCTCCAGTCCCCCGAGCTCTCTCTGGCCCTAGTTACTGTTTTCATATACAGTTTTAATTGTTAATGACCTCTTCCTTAAGAAGCGTTAATTGACTTTTAAAATATCCTTCCCCGTATTTTTTTTCTGTTTTAGTGATACATTAATAATAATAGTAACGATAGCGACATATTAATAATAGTGATATAATAAATAAAACAATAATATATATGCTCACTATTATTGTGTGTGAATATATGTGTATATGTACTCATGTACATATTACATATATGCTTTTGGGTCACAACCGGCAGTACTTGGGGCTTGCTTCTAGCTGTGTGCTCAGGGGTCACTCCTGGCAGTGTAAGAGCAGGATGGGACTGGGTCAGCCATGTGCAAGGCAAGTGCCTTGCCCCAACACTGTCTCTGCTGATTGAATCAGATTTAATGGTTTTGTTTGTATGTTCGGTGTTTGGGCCATACCTGGCTGTGCTCAGGTCTTACTGCCCTCAGGATTCACTCCTGAAGAGCTGGGGGGACATATGCTGTTGGCAAAAATTGAACCTGGGTTGGCTGCACACAAGGACTTACCCGCCGTATCACTATTCGGCCCCTTAAATACATTGTTAGCCTGTTTCAGAGGGCGGTGGAAACTCTCTTTATTTTCTTTTTTATTTACTTACCTTTTAGGTTTTTGGGCCGCACCGCCACCCAGTTGTGCTCAGGTCTTATCGCTGACTTTGCTCTCAGGGGTTCCTCCTGGCAGGGCTCGGGGGACCATATGGGATGCTGGGGATTGAACCTGGGTGGGCCACATGCAAGGCGAGTACCTTACCCTCTGTGCTATGGCTCCAACGCTTTTACTTTCTGTGATGGTGCCAGAGGAAACTGACCTGGCCATGAGTAAGGAAGGGTTTGGGGCATGGGTTTCAAGATTTCAGGTCCTCTGGATCTGCATTCCTGCTGCCCTGTGGTCCGGAGACATCAGCTTGTCAGGGTGTATTGGTCTGCTTCCTGTGTGCTTCAGAATACTCGGGAGTGTAAACTATCAATCAGTACCACAAATTGGTCCCATCTGCTACAGAAGTACAAAACTCATTAAAAAGCATGAGAAAAAGTAAAAGCATTTAACCTTTCTTGCCCTTGGGAGTGGGATGGGGTGGCTCTGAAGGCGCCCTGTATTGGTGGGCCCGAGGCATGGCTGTCTCTGGGCTTCGCCCTCATGGGGTAGGTGCAGGAGCAGAGGGTGGCTGTGCCGACTCTGAGCACTGTCATAACTCACTGATGTGTTCTCTGCTTTTGAGGAATGGATTTCAGTTTTCATGGACTGTTTGACTTGAACACATTTGTAGAACATATGTTTGCCACGGAGTGAGAGTATTAAACCAGGGTGTGAATGGACAGAGTTTATATTAGCGCTGAAGTAGTGCTTCTCTAGCACACGCAAATAGGAAGGAACTAAAGCCAAGTACATTGGATAATACTTTCAATCAAATGACTTTTTATCTAAAGTTTGAAGTGCCAAGTCACTCTCCCAGGTGAACTTCAGAACTCAAACCAGAGAAAATAGAAGAAGTGGTTTCGTTATGGAGTTGAATGGCAGGAGCTGAACTTGGGCCTGTAAGCTCAGAACCTCGAGTTTGAACCTCTACTTGGTATAATCTCTTTGTGGCCTTGGGCAAGTTGCTTCCGTGAAAACAGAAAACAGACAATCCAGATGAGGCCGCCAGGGAGGGGGAGCGTTGAAAGCCTTGGGATCTGAGAAGAGCCTGCTAAGTGCTTGTTTCCTGGCTCTTCAGCGCTCCTGCTAGAAAACCAGTTTTTCTGTCTTTTATACTCTGCCTTCTGCTGGCTATAGTTTTATCTAGTTTTAATACAAAGACACACCATGTCCTTTGGGAGCAGATTTGAAGAAGTTATAGATGTACAAGCTTAGGATTCAAAATTTATATAAAGTAGAACTCTTCACATGTATGTACATCTTCATGAAAGCTGTTTCCGTGGGGACCTTATTGCTCACTAAGTCGCACCCTGGAATGGGGCATCGCGGAGGATTGACTTAATAGGCTTAATCGGAACAGAAGAGGCAAGATTCTCGGGATGTGCGTTCTCGAAATAATTGCTCCCTAGACAGTGTTCTGGAGAATAGGATGTATTTTACATTACTCTAGGGCAGGGCTACATTTAGCTGTTTGTTTAAAGAGAAATGATT